CAGTTTTTTCTCTCTCCCCCTTCAGTTTTATGCAACCGAGATTCCGCACCAGACAAAGGTGCCTCGGCCGACGGTTTCTGATTGTCGGCTGAAGTATTCGTGGGTTGCAAGGTGAAGAGTCAAAACATGGCGCAGAGCTCAGACATTGTGAACGGCATCCGTTTGGAGGGCAGATTCCACCAAGTTGACACCCAATACTCGTGAAAGATATCCTGAATGAAGAGAACTAGTGATAGTTCTTTTAAACCGGCATTTGGATATTTCTGGATGACATACTGCATATTGCAATGACGTTTACCGAAAAGGACTGTTGATACCTAAATCTGCGTTCAATGGGAAGAAATAAAAATACATATCTATGAAGAGTGCGCCGACAGGTTTCAGGTTGTTTCAGAGGAGTACGGGCTTAAAAGTTTAAACAAAAAAGTTCCATCTATAAATGCAAAACAAAACATCAAACGGCTACGAAAGGCTGTTATGAACTAGACATTGAGTAGTGGTAAAACGAAAATAGAGGCTGTTCGTCGCGAGACGATTAACTGGCATGATGTATAGTTCTATGTCGATTAAAAGTTCTTTGGGAAATGATAGGAAATTTTATTGTTGAATTTGGCGAACGTACGCTTCGATTGTTCATCATTAGGCAATTACAAGAAGGGTAGAGTGACGAATGTTTAAAGATTCAATCGACAGTAAGTAAGGAGGAGAACAAGTTCAGAGATCAGGGGGGGCCAGACTCTGGTCATATCACTATGCTAATCTAACTCCAGAACGGTAAGTTGAAGCAAATGAACTACAAACCACCATTTATATTTTTTCAGGGATTTCAAAAGACCTGCATTTTGATAATCGGGTTTTTCTGCAGTACGTTAAACGATAATACAGCTTAGGAAATTCTACAGTTATAAATCAACAACATTTCTAAATACAATAAAATAAAAATGCATATAGCAGTTATTAAAGAATATTCCACTGCCTATCCTAATGTCCTACCCATAAAAAACCTATAACCACCGTTTTCGTAGGAAAAAATGTTAAACATAGAAGTTTATGAGTTGCACTACTGAAACTACCGTCGCCTTTCCTATTAACATGAGCCACTGCAATAGATCCTCCTGTCCACCGCTTGCATTGTTTTACGCTATTCACCTAAATACAATTCCTTTTCTTGGAACTGAAGCACGAAAACTTTATTTGGCGCAATCCTTTCGAAGTTTGCACAGATCAGTAGAATGAACACCGGTAAAAAATATTTCGCAATCAGAAACATGCTTCAAAGGAACACACACGTTTCTGCGTGGTTATCAAATAGTAATGGTGTCGGTACTACTGTCCTCAAAGTTCACAACACCATCAGTGTATCAGATTATATTTTACAAATCGGGAAAAAGTATACTTTGTATGGCCTGGAAAGCACTTTAAATGGTTTTGCTTAATGCACGGAGAGGCAAACCTTTTAAAACCGAAGGACACAGTATTGGAAGTGAACATGATTTTCCCTTAAAAAAATGAAATTTTGCAAGCCTTTAGGGGAATATAAACGGATAGATTTCATTTTTGATACCAGCTTTAGGTTACACATTGCAGTTTGAATGAAATCTTTGTAACTAGGGTTCAAGCATTTGGACAGAAATCCGCTCGCCTGAAAGTTACCCATAAAATAACCACTCATTCACGTCGATAAGTCACTAAGCCGTTTCTTCAAAACCCTTAGGTCAAAGCCCAGTAATACGTCCATTGGATAAATAGCTCTGCTTCAGGTTTCTGCTATTCTAGGTTTGCAGGTCACCACTAAGTCTGTGCGTATTATCGCTTGGTTGTCGTCCATGTTAACTCGTCAGTCTCTAACACATTTTTCCTTATTCAAAATGGGCCTAAAGTCCGTGTCTAACTGCATAAAAAATTCGGAAGCTTAGCTTAACTTTTAAGTTTTTCCAAGGAGTTCAAGATTTAACCTGCCACTAAGTGTACATTTTAGCCTCTCACACCCACGATTTTACAAGTGCAGTTTATGCAAATCGTACATTAAGACAGACTCATAAGGGAATATCAAAAGTCTACAACGGATATAGATCATGTTGTATACCAATAAACGGACAAATATTAATTAGACATTTCATGATCTTAAAAATTGCCCAATCAGAGGTATTCCGAAAATCTAAAGATATTTATTCCTCCAGTGTAAAATACGAAGCCGTATTTTAATATCAAAGTTTTATAAAGGAGGCAATTATAAAGATGTATTTTATGAAAATTTTTCGGATTACCATTGAGAAGAGCATACTGGTAAATAGTTCCCTTATTAGTGTGAGATTTTTGCAGGCCGCTAGGTAGCCCTAAACTCAAAGGCCACTATTCCGTTGCAGCACCAGACTGTATGGTAATCAGTTTGACAACCGCGCTTAGCTTGCTGA